AACTAGTTTATCCATTTGTTTCTTTCCAAGACGCACTGGCCATGTTCATAAAGCCCTAAAAAATCCATTTCCTATATTGTAAAACATGAGTGAAAACCTGCCTTGTTTACAGCAGTTTGTATTGTTATTGCTTCCTTGTACAGTGCATTACTGTAAACGCATCCCATCATCCCACTGATTGTGTGCATGCTAGCAGTGAGATCAACTCAGGGCCTGCTCACAGTAACATCCTCTAAGCTGCTAGTGGTCCCAAACTCCACAGGGAGCCTTTAATTGGACCCAAGAATGATGCGCATGTCCCTATAAGAACATTCAAGACCACGTTCAGTTAAGTGTAACCATTTAGATACAGAGAACCCATCATTACTTCACTAACTGATGTCCTTGTTCGAACCAAGACGCTTAGTCGCTTTGTGTTCGTGCCACAAGCAGACTCCTGGGTAGTAAAACTGACCTGGGGGCAGGGACTGCTTGAGCTTCTCAGCCTTCTCCTTGTCTGTGATGACCAGGGTGTACAGGTACCTGCTGCAGCGCACCTTGAACTTAACATTGTCCTTGTTCTTCTTGATCTTTACGGCTAAAAAAAAGCAAGAAAAAAGCACAGTGGTTGAGATTCAACTTAATAGAAAAACATCTACTTGGATTAAGAGTAGTATTAAAACTGACTGATGTGTGAATATTTGTACAAAACAGACCGCAGTCATGATTTTACAGGTCCATAGTTTAAATCATTTCTTATAGTTCCCTGGATACACTTAGTACTAGTTATAGGAAAAAGAGGAACTCCCTTGAAAGCCCCACATGAGCCGAATAATATGTTTACAAAGTCACAAAGCACTGATTGTTGGAAGCTTTCTTCTATATACATCTACTGCTTTCACATGTTGAGCTACCCTGCTACCACAGACGTATAACTCAAAGTTACAGAGGAAATCATTTGGAATAAATCTTTCCAAAGTAGTGCCAATCAACGCCGTCTCCACTTTCACTGTAAGAAAACCTTTTAACTAGGAAATTAAACTTGTGTTTTACTTTACAAGTTTCTGATTTTCTTGCAATGGCAAAAAATGACATGAAACTGGCCACCTAAAAAAAAAAAACAAGGTCTTGTCTTTTAAACATGCCTACATCTCAGACATTTACATCCATCAGCACATGCAGGCGAGAGACTGAAAAGCTCCACTTACACTTGGCATCCTTCCTCCTGGCTGTCAGAAGGAAATCTTTGATTTCTTCTATCTTGCGAGGCTACGGAGAAAACATGGGCAGACAGTTATCATCCAAAGCATCTACAGTCAGACTGAGACTGGACAGCAATGTGATGTTAGGGGACCGGTGGAACTGATGTTTCTGTGAGAAAATCGAAACCCAGCACTAGGTCCATCATTAATCTTGCAAGACTGTGAATGCATCACGAGCACATCAGCCTGAGATGTTTGGACGTCTTGCTGATGGCAGAAACTTCATTCAAGGCAACTTGTGCAACGTTAGGCGGCCCCATGGCCAACTTAGTAAGCACAGCCTGTATTACTGACAGCTACAGCTCACGTTATTAGTTTTAAATGGGAGCTTTTAACTCCAGTACCGCTTGGTTTAGGTAAATAAACGCTGCTGTGTGCGGTTGAACATGTCCTTTTACAACAGGCTGCAGCCGGGTGGCCCAATTATTCTAGTAGCATGTTGCTAATGCTAATAACCTATCCCAGCCGAATTACCGGCGTTTGTGTCGACTGATAAACCACCACAAACGCCCATTTCACGTTACGACGCACCCACATACAACGAATATGACATTATCAGCGGAGCACACGTCGCTATGTAACGTTAAGTGTGTGAAAGCTCTTACCATGCTGCCGTGTCAGCGGACTGAGAGCTGCGGAAGAGCAGAGAAAGATGGAGTCAGTTTATCGGTTATAACGACGGACAGAAAAATGTTGGTTAACAAATCAGCATCTCGTCATTTAGCTACGGAAGGGAGTAATCACAATTTGACATAAACATCGACATAATTATTGGCGTCAGAGAGGATGGATGATGATGGAAATCGGGATTTTGTTTCTGTGCGAACGTGAAACTCACTCAGTCTGCCAGAGAGGGGATGAAAAGGGGTGGAACTTCCGGTTAGGGATGCTTTTATACAGCGCTACGGCAAGCACAGAGGGCCAATGCTAAGACAGAAAAGCGTATTATCCTTTGTTAGTCTGAAGTTAAATCGAGTTTGTGTTTATATGACGGTACTGCGTTCAGAGAGGAGTTTACTCCAAATAAGCGTTACATATTGCAACTCTGTACACATCTATATGTTTCTATGTGGATTTTCTTTCTCACGCTCTATCTTGTAAAGAGAAAACTGTGGCTTTTATAGGTCTATATTATTTATTAATGTTCCTGCCTTTCTCTATTCTATTTTGGTACAAATCTCTGTCATTTTGGAAAATCTGCAAATACTGTCACTAATGAGAGACATTGTATACCTCACCTCCTTTCAACTTATATATAAATATTTACATATATGTAAGAATATTCTGAATGTTTTTGCCCTTAACAATCTTATCTACATCTGTATTGTACACAGTTCATAGCCTGAAGCTTGTCGATGATTTGTTGCTTTTGGCACGTCAAACTCTTTTCATCTGGTGCTTAACTGGACACAGATGCTGCACATGAGCTTTTTCTTGAACATACCACAGATCGCAAAGGACATCATTCTCTCAGAATACCTACAGTCTGCAAAGCAGGACTATTATGTTTGAAGGCCATTCCTCCCCTTCTGTATGACACATCTGTCATCCTCTAGTTGTTTGTCTTGTAGTTACATTTTCATGTTTTCATTGAGCTCTTCCACTGACGTGTTTCTAGTCAATCAACCTCACATGCTCTGTCTCCCGGTACAGCACATGTTGATAGACAAAGCACGTTCTTGGGCAAGGACAGGACATATATCACTATACGTAGTACTGCGCGTAACTGTATATGTGACAATAAAGTTGATTATATTCTATTCTCATAAAGTGAATGTCCAGAGGCTACTGCTGGGAGAATAGGCCTGAGCCTGGTGGGTTTCACTGCTGGGAACAGCTTGACACAGTATGCAGTGATGGGTGCACCAGTACAGTTTTTTATTAATGTACCTCCTGAGCAGCACAAACAAATTTTGTTAGAAAAAAATGCCTATAAAGAGTTACAATAGTGCACTGCGTCATCAATGTGATTTATTAAGAAAAACACTGAAATTCTTCATTTAAAATGTTAAATTCATAGCAGAACAATGTCTTGTTATCTTTGAATAACACTAAGACAGCATTGTAGTTCCACTGAACTGCGTCTAAGTTCCACTTACAAAATAGTGAGAAACATGGATATATGCAACTGTAGTTGACAGTTTATGAAAAAAAGGAATACTGAATATAGAATGTGATTCATCAAGGTTTATAAAACTTACATTTATAGTTTTCTATTGAACTTGTAGTATACTTACTTGCCTTTTTTTAATGTCAGGTACCCCCTGCAGTACTACAAAGTACCCCTAGGGGTAAACATACCTCCATTTGAGAAACACTACACTAGTGCATCCATCCTTTGTCCTGTACATTAAGTAAAATGGAGTTTATTTATATAGGCCAAAACCACACGTTTGTTTCAGAGGTTTTTACAATATGTACAACATACAACAAAATACTGAACTGACTCATGATTCCAAACTCCTCTAGTAAAACAAATCCTCTAGAAAATGTCTGAACAGCCACCAACCACCTGGTCATGTTGTTCATATTTAATTATTTAACTGTTCACTTACATCTACCTACATAAAGTCCCCAACCTTTTTGCCTTATGACCCCTCAAAGTTAAGCATTGTCTGCAGGTGATGCCTTGTCACCCATTGCATATGTCAATTAGTTGGGTTCTTTTTTTTTTTTTTAGATCAGAAGGGGTAAAACTATGCAGCATTTCATAAGAAAATTAATCCTGTACTTCCCTACATGAGGGTCTAAATGCTGTTTCTCCACACTGAAAGAAACATAATTTTGGTGAAAAACTAAATCATTAATGGTTAAAAATAGATTTTCCTTTGACAGCACAAACAGATTAATAACAAACAAAAAAACATAATTTGTAATATCTTTGTAGTTGTAGATAATAAACTCCTGCTCAGGTCAGTAAATCCACCAAAGTCCCAGAAGACAGAGAACATGACCTCAGTGGTTTTATTAGCCCTGAGTAGACATTGCAATAGAAGTAAACAATAAGAAACAGAATGAATGCTGTATGAATAAAATGTAAAGTAAAAAAAGAAGTAGAAGGAGGATAGATAGACAGATAATAAAAAACAGTACTACAATAAAGTACAATAAAACCTCTTCAGAACAGAAACTTGATCTTGTTAGAAAAATAAATGATTTCAAGGGAGGCAAACACTTCTTCTTGTAATAAAATGCTTTTCAGCTCTTTTTAAAAAAAAGGCTTGTATTCTCTCAGCAGGTTGTGTTAGTGCTGCAGTTTTAACCAGCAGCCCAAGGTCAGACTGGTTAAAGCAACAGTCCTGTCTATAGAGAAAGAAGATAAGCAGCCAAATTAGGTTGTATTCAAGTGTCTTCTTGTTTTTTTTGGTCTTTTTATGCCTTAATTCGATAGGACAGATGAAGATAGACAGGAAACGGGGGACTGAAAGGAGGGACAACACGCAGTAAAGGCCAAGAATCAAACCCAGCCTACACAGGGTGCGGTCTACCAGGTGAGTGGTCTTCTGATTGTTGTTTGCAAAGAACAGTTTATCTATCTGTCTCTGTCCAATTATCTATCCCATTATCTATCCAATTATCTGTTCTAATCTTTATTCTACTCTTATTCTTTTCTCTTTCTCCTCTCCTTCTCTTCTCAAACACAAGTAAAAGTGGATACATGGATGCTTTAAACCCAGTTCATTTCCTGCAGACTGCTGCATTGTGTGTTTTTAGTTGTATATATTCTGCCTACTATAGAGCCAGAGTAGCTGTTGTAGCAGGTCGCGCTACAGACGGGGTTGCCTCAGCACACAAATAGTCACACCAACGTTTGCCACACAACACTTTTATTCTGAGCGTCGCTCACAATCCACAACAGTTGGCAGTCTATGCTCTGGCGTTTGGTCACGGGATACTCCTCGTGGCGTCTCTCCTCGGGTCCAGCACACTACTGCCAATAAGGGAAGAGTCCTTAGTTAATTATCAGCAGGTGAGGTGATCAACTCCCCTGGTGCCGCTCTCCCAAGCCTTCCCCACACCTCTCTCCTGCAGCTGAGCGCAAACCACGCCCACCCCCACATACCCCCACCGCCCGACTTAGGCCGGGGAGCCATCCGGCCTAACCCACTCCCCCCCCCCTCCCCAAAGGAACGGGAGAGAAAGTCGGCCACGGCCATCTGCGCCCCCGGCCTATGGATCACCCTGAACTTAAATGGCTGTAAGGCCAGATACCACCGGGTGATCCGGGCGTTGGCATCTTTCATGCGGTGGAGCCACTGGAGGGGGGCATGGTCCGAACAGAGGGTGAATGAGCGCCCCAGCAGGTAGTAACGCAGAGCCTCGACCGCCCACCGGATAGCCAAGCACTCCTTCTCGATTGTGCTGTACCGAGACTCCCTCTCCGACAGCTTCCGGCTGATGTATAACACCGGGCGGTCGACACCCTGCACCTGCTGGGACAGAACGGCCCCCAGCCCCCTGTTCGAAGCATCAGTCTGCAGGATAAAAGGGAGAGAGAAGTTAGGTGTGTGAAGGAGAGGCTTCCCACAGAGGGTTTGTTTTACCTTCTCGAACGCCAGCTGACACTGCTCCGTCCACTGGACCGGATCTGAGGCACCCTTTCGAGTGAGGTCGGTCAGGGGGCTGGTCAAGTCTGCAAAGTGTGGAATGAACCGCCGGTAATAGCCCGCCAGCCCCAAGAACCGTCTCACCTCCTTTTTGGTCTTGGGCCGTGGGCTGGCTGCAATTGCTGCTGTCTTGTCTACTTGAGGACGCACCTGCCCACTGCCCAAGTGGTACCCCAGATACCGTACCTCCCTCCGTCCAACCGCACACTTCTTCGGGTTGGCCGTGAGCCCCGCCTGCCTCAGTGACTCGAGCACCGCTGCCACACTCTGCATATGCTCCCGCCAGCTGTTACTATGGATGATAACGTCATCCAAGTAGGCGGCAGCATACGCAGAGTGCGGACGCAGGACCCGGTCCATGAGACGCTGGAAAGTGGCCGGGGCACCAAACAACCCGAAGGGAAGTGTGACAAACTGGTACAAACCGTACGGAGTGGAGAAGGCCGTTTTTTCCTTAGACTCTGGAGACAAGGGAATCTGCCAATAGCCCTTGGTTAAATCCAGTGTCGTGAAAAAACGAGCAGTGCCTAACCGATCCAGGAGCTCGTCGACCCGAGGCATCGGATAAGCATCGAACCGTGACACGTCATTCACCTTGCGATAGTCCACACAGAACCGAATAGACCCATCCTTCTTAAGTACCAGAACGATGGGGCTACACCAGGCACTGTTGGACTCTTCTATTACCCCCATCTCCAGCATGGCCTTCAATTCCTTCTGAACCACCTTTCTTTTGTGTTCAGGTAACCGATAGGGCCGTGAACGCACTGTCACGCCCGGGTGAGTCTCAACATGATGCTGTATGAGATTTGTGCGCCCTGGCAGGGGAGAGAACACATCAGCAAAACGCTGTTGCAACGCGGCAATGTCTGCTCTCTGGGACGGTGTGAGATGGTCATCACAATGGAGTGAGGCAGGATTGGTGGAATTTGGTACCTCTGGCCCCAACTCGTCTCCCTCTTTCACCGTGGTCACCAGAGAAACAGGCTCCGCCTCTCTCCATGCTTTGAGGAGATTGAGGTGGTAAATCTGTGTTGCTCCTCCCCTGTCAGAACGCGCAACCTCATAATCGACATCACCCACTCGCCGTGTGACCACAAAGGGCCCTTGCCACTTGGCGAGTAATTTAGAGCTGGACGAAGGGAGTAATACAAGTACTTTATCTCCCGGTGCAAATTGTCTGAGTCTAGTTCCTCTGTTGTACAGGCGCTGTTGACGCTCCTGGGCCCGGAGCAAATTCTCCCGTGACCAATGTGTGGAGTTTTGCTCTCAGGTCCAGGACGTACTGAACCTCATTTTTACTTGGGCTCGGACCTTCCTCCCAGTTTTCTTTAAAAGGTCAGAACCCCCCGTGGTGTCCTGCCAAACAGCAGTTCAAAGGGAGAAAATCCCGTTGAGGCCTGGGGCACCTCACGCACTGCAAACAACAGAGGATCTAGCCACCTATCCCAATTACGGCTGTCATCGTGCACAAACTTACGGATCATGGACTTCAGGGTTTTGTTCAGACGCTCGACAAGGCCGTCGGTCTGAGGGTGGTACACACTAGTCCGAATTGACCTGATGCCCAATAACCCATAAAGTTCCCGGAGTGTGCGTGACATAAACGAGGTGCCCTGGTCAGTTAGAATCTCTTTTGGGATCCCAACTCGGGAGATGACCTGGAACAGTGCCTGTGCCACACTCTTTGCAGAGATTGTGCGCAGAGGCACTGCTTCCGGATATCGGGTTGCATAATCCACTAGGACTAATACAAAACGATATCCACGTGCGCTCCGGTGAAATGGCCCGATGAGGTCCATGCCAATACGCTCAAATGGAACCTCCATGAGTGGTAATGGGCGCAAAGGCGCTCTCGGGATGGCCGGTTGGTTAACCAACTGACATTCAGGGCAAGACGCACACCAGCGGCGTACATCTGCCCTAATGCCAGGCCAATAGAATCGGGCCATTATTCGGTTAAGTGTTTTCTCATACCCCATATGCCCCGCCATTGGGTTATAATGAGCCGCCTGGAAAACTGTTTCCCGGCGGCTGTCCGGTACCAACAACTGGGTGATTTCCTCTGCTGACTCAGTGTCACGACTCACTCTGTATAACCTGTCCCTAACCAATGCGAAATGCGGATATGTCTGCACTGCGTCAGGGTGCACCAACTGACCATCAATTTTTATCACTTGGTCAAAGGCAAAGCGTAGAGTATTGTCACGAGACTGCTCGAGTGGAAAATCTTCCGTGGAGTGCAACATGGGAACCTGTGGGGCCTCTGGCGGAGACACCACAGGTTCCCCCTCCCCCCCTGCAGTGTCGGACAACCTCGCGTCACCACTGAGCACAGCGCACATATCCCATGTCCCTACCGGTCGTGAACGCACCCCCGCACACTGCCCCACTAATCGATTAAACCCAGGCCAATCCGTGCCCAAAATCAGGGGGTGCGTCAGGCGGGAACTAACCGCAGCCTTAACAGTATGCTTTTTACCCTTATATCTAATTTCCACGGGCACAACCAGGTATCTGTGAATATCCCCATGTACACATCTAACATCCACCCACGATGCCTCTACCAAAGCCCCGGGTCGAACCAGGTTCTGATGGATTATAGATTGCGTGCAGCCCGAATCCACCATTGCCTGACGTATACCCCCTTGAATCCTTACCGGGACGCTGTATGTCCCTCCTGGACCGGGGGAGGGTGTTGGTGGGCCAGCAACCCGGATCACCTGTCCGACCTCCATGAGAGGGCACTCCCTGCGGAAATGTCCGGGCTGCCCGCACCGCCAACACTCCTGCCCTGACGTCCGAGGAACCCTCTGTGGGTCGAGAGCGGCACCCGTAGTGGCTGGACCCTGGGAAGGAGAGAGAGCAGAGGGCTGGTTAATGCGCGGCAGAGGGGGAGGCCGGGCAAAAGTTCCCAGACGGGGGGTAAGTGGGGGTGGGGGTCTTCTGCGAGGCGCCGGCACGGGTCGGGTGGGTGCAGAGGGCCGCCTCTCCGGAGCCCGGTCCCCATCGTGGACGGCCAGGTGATCCTCGGCGAGGGTGACGGCGGCCTCCAAATCCGCCGGTCGGTGGCACCGCACCCACTCCGCAGTCCCGGTCGGGAGCCCCTCCACAAACTGTTCCAACACCACCTGCTCCAGCATCTGCCTCTCACCGGCGGATCCCCCCGGCTGCAGCCACCTGGTGGCAGCGTCCTTCAGCTGCTGCGCATAGACAAAAGGACGGTCGGAGGGTCCCAGGGCGGCGGACCGGAACCGGCGGCGGTGATCCTCAGGGGAAAAACCCATCCTGTCCAGGATGGCTCTTTTGATGTTTCGAAACTCCCCCCGAGAAGAAGCTGGCAGGCCGAGCGCTGCAGTCTGGGACTCTCCTGACAGCAGTGGAAGCAGGCGCACGGCCCACTCCGCCGCCGGCCAGCCACACGCCTCCGCCGTTGCCTCGAACATTTCGAGGAAGGTTTGGGGGTCATCCGCAGCTGTCATCCGGTGCATGGTGATGCCGGAGAAGGAGGAGGGTGGAGAAGATGGTGACTGTGCCCCCGACCGGGCCAGCAGTCCTTCCAGCAGCTGGTTCTGCTTCCCCGCCTGGTTCTGGAGTGCCTCCAGATGCCGCCTATTAGTGGCAGTCTGCTGGGTGTGTACTGCCGTGATCTGCCCCAGCATCTCCCCCAGCAGTGAGACCAGCTGTGAAGGCTGCTGCTCCATAGGCTGCTGCTCCAAAGGCGGCTGCGGAGGCTGCTGTGGTTCGGACATTTGTGTGCTGGCCCCACGTTGGGCGCCAGTTAGCAAGCGCGCTTACAGACGGTTTCCTCAGCACACAAATAAGCACACGACGTTTGACACACAACACTTTTATTCCGAGCGTTGCTCACAATCTCAATAGTTGGCAGTTCTAGCTCTGGCTTTGGTCACGGGATACTCCTCGTGGCGTCTCTTCCGGTCCAGCACACTACTCCAAATATAGGGAAGAGTCTTTAATTAATTATCAGCAGGTGAGGTGATCAACTCACCTGGTGCCGCTCCTCCCAAGCTTCCCCACACCTCTCTCCTGCAGCTGGAGCGCAAACCACGCCCACCCCCACAAGGTGATTGTGCAGACAAATGTTGCCAGTGCTCTGGTACAAGAGCTGATCCTGAGATGTTAATGAAATGTGGTTGAATGCGTTAGTAACATACTGTAACTGCTATGCTAAGCTGCATATCGGTAACATGAAACAGTGAACTCAGTATAGAGAAATGCATGTAACCAATTGTAAATAAAAATAGTAATAGGTTTGCAAATGGCATAATAAAGCAATACTACACAGATAAAATATTTTTATGTCAAACATACACATTATATATTTATTGGAATAATTATTTAAGCAACGTTCAGCACAGGTTTGATTTTTAGTAGAACTCAAATTAAGTAACATGCCAAAGTTGATAACATTGCCTCAAGTAAACTCAGGCAATATCATAAACTAAACTGAATAAAGAATACAGAAAAACGAAACGGAGAAATAATTGGTAGAAAAAAAAGACAAAGAGACTGTGAGCTGCGAGAGGTAATTAAAAAGAAAAGAAGAGGAAGAGAGAGCGAGACAGCGTGAGTGATGCAGGATAAGGTTGATGGCCTCTCCCTGGTTGTAAATATGGTTTGATTTGGTGATTTATTCATGGTGTTGATTTATTCAGCCGCGGTGCAAAACATCGCCCTCCGACTGCTTCTCTATCAATAATACAATGCTTCTAGAGACAGCCGTGTGTGTGTGTGTGTGTGAAAAGAGTCCCATCATGCATATACCAGTAAGATGAGACCAGCAATCCTGAAACCACCCAGAGAGCATAGCAGTTTTCACTGACAACTAACAATTGGAACTTTTCTCAAGTCTCCAGTGATTCAGTTTCAACCTCTGACACATAAAGTTTTCCAGTAAAAGCAACTCCACAGCTGTATCACTGCATATGAGTCCATCCTGTTGGTGCTCGCACTCTCTGAAACCCCCTATTAATGACATCTGGAATCATATTTAGGCTGTAACTGTGAGAAGTCAAAGTAGAGAGTCATAAATTAATTGTCAGTTTTCACAAGTAAGTTAATGGTGTTACTGAGTAAATGAAGTGTGCCAATTGTAACTGTAGATTGAAGAGAATCAGCAGGCACAGAGCCGATGTCTCATTGCAGAGGGGGTGAGCACCTGTAGTAGGCCCTTAAAAGTGCTGATGGATGTATAGATAACCTAAAGGCTCCAAGGGTGGAACAGAGAGAAATGCAGATTGCAATGAGGTGTTCTATTTTACCACCATAGTGCCATGGATTTATCATTAAACAGCGACCTGCAGATATTAAAGCATCACAAGTGCCGATAGACTATTTCAAAACCATGATGATGTAACCCAGTAGATAGTTTATCTCTAACTATAGTAGCCAGTGCTGTAGGCCAACGCATGGCGCCGCAGCGAGTTTTTCTTTTCTTATTGCTGATATGTTAACTTGACATTGTATCTACTGCTTCGATTTTGAGAGTGTTAAAGCAATATTACTGAGAGTTGAAGCAGTATATCTCTGCTAGAAGATATGAGTTGTAGCAGTCTTTTACTTTGATGGTGTATAAGATTACTTTTGCACTTTTGTTAGTGTTAACTGTTTACACTGGAAGCGTGGCTGCCAAGTTATGCACTGCTAGTGCTAATAATAATATGTAGTGTTTAAAAAGACTACTGGATATGTGCATTTAAACTATAACCTTGTAAGAGAGTAGGAGGTGTGTAAAATACCTGATGTGCTGTACTCAGTTCATAATTTAAAGAGACAATGTGTTTATTTCATAATTTAAAAATGTTATAATGTAATGTTGTTTTTGTGTAATGTTAATGTAATGTGTTCATTTCAATTTAAAGGGTCAAATGTTAATTTTATGATTTAAAGGGTCCCATGTTAATGTGATGGTTAAAGTGTTTAATCATAGTAATCATAATTCATGTAGTATTTTGTAAATTTTGATGTGATTTCATTTATCATGGCCATGGTGGACTGGGATTTCATGACTCAGTATAGTAATAGCCTTATATATATATATATATATATTATACAGACTAGATTTTGAGATTCCCTGGAGATACCCTTAGATTTGGATTTTGGATTCTTTTGGAAAGGGGATGGCGAGCCAGTACTGAACCAGATCCAGATCTCCTCCTTTATCATTGAATGATGTTATAACTTCACTTCTTCCCCGGGAAGTTCTTGTGCTTTCTCGTCTTGCAGGTTCTCATGGATCTTGTGGAGCTCCTGCAATGGTCCTGCTTGACCAACATTGCTTTAATTTAAATCCACTTGATATTATTTTTTATTTTAATTAGTTTACTATATAAGTATTATTATTGCTACAGTTACTGTTGGGTTTTGGCTGTTGTCGCTGCTTGCTGTCCCCCATCGTTGCTGGCTGTCGTAGTCGTCAGTCATCTTTCTTCATGTTTTTAGTGTATTTAGTGTAGTTGGTTGCTACTGTTGTTTTGCTGTCTGTCTGTCTGTCTGTTCTCCCTCTGTCTCTCTCTCTCCCTTCTCCCTTCTCCCCCCAACTGGTCAAGCAGATGCACCACCCACCTAGAGCCGAAGGGTCTGTCCGAGGTTTCTGCCCGTTAAAAGCAGTTTTTTCATTGCCCCCGGTCGGCCAAGTGCTTTGCTCATGGTGGTACTGTTGGTCTCTGTAAATGTTTATAAGGAGTTCCGGTCTTAGACCTGCTTTATTTGAAAAGTTGTCCTGAGAT